CCAAGACATAATTTCAATGAAATCAAATTTATTTATTATAAAAATATCCGCTCGTTTATAAATAGATAGTGGCTAAAATCAATCGACGAACAACACCGCAGAAAGATGAATTACAATCATTATTATTAGTAGTGATTTCATAAACTACACCTTACGATTTATCTTCACAAACTTTATTTTCAAAAATATATGACGACATGTTTCGTTATCACAGTAGCTGAAACTGCTGATATTGAATAATTGATATAATGTTAAGACAGTGTCCCTGAAGGATACCATTAGGAAGATGCAATGAATTATTATTTTCCGATATAAAGGATAAAACTGGAAATTCTGACGTAGAATAAATCCAAAACAAGCAGTCCAGTTTTCTGTATCTGCTGAAGGCGTCAACTATTGATGAAACGCGCGTCAAGAAGAGTGTGGCATTTCTGACGATTGGGAAAAGTGCTATTTTTGGATGAAAAAGTTTACACAGAAGGCAACCTGAATGACTCGATAAATGAAAAATTGACGATAAATTTGTTTTGAATTTATAATTATTATAGTATTTATTCTGCTCTAGAAAGGTAATGAATAATACCTACCAAATGTTAAAAAACAACATGGAATTATGAAAATATCCTGTTTATAATTCAAAAATTATATTTTCAGAACTGATATTTCGAGATTTTTTCATAAACACCAATTTAAAGAGATTTTATTGTTTTTACGATTTTTTTGTTCAACTAAAGTATACGACATTATTCCATCTCTACATTCTGGAAAATTTTAATTTCTATCACAAGGCAGGATTTCAATGTTTTTTGTTTCCAAGATGTAATATAATTTTGCGAACTCTCAATTATACAATTTTTTTTCAAAGAAAATGTAGATACAAATTAGATATTCAACGCGTAGTTTTTTTGAGAACATTAAGAACATTTTCATACATCAAAACTACATCATCAACAAATGCAGTAGTTTACAGTTTGCAGGATACATTTGAATATTTTATGATTTACATGTCAGGCATCTGTATATGAAACTGGGCCTAACACAAAACCTTGAGGAATACCTAAGCTGGTTTTACTTGAACAGTAATACGTATTCTCAAATTTCAATAGAAAAAGGTAATTGAAATAGAGAAAAAGTATTCACTAACCCTTACAGGAGTGATAGAAATTTTGCTCATTATTTTCTGAAATATATCTTGCCGTTTTTATTATTATTATTCAAAGCTGCCCCTCACAATTCAATAATGGTACACGAAATTGTTAATTGGCACATTTGCCTTAAATTAAATGAAAATTGAAAGGGATATATTTTTAGGAGAGATTAATTTTTGTGAAAAAAAAGTTTCGACTTTCTACTTATCCATCTCCTTCTGCAAAAAATGTCAGAATAATCCAGAGAAAGGCGGGAAGCAATCAATTTAAAAAAATTAACTGGGTACATGAGTAGGTTAAACTCATGTGTGACATAAAATCGTAATTTGAGGAATTAATTGAATGTTTCATCTCCAAATGTTATCCAAATTGGTGCTGAAGAAGCAATAAGGCAAGTGTCTTATTGTCCACCAGTTAGGACGACATTGTGTAGCAATCCTGTGAATGGTATCTGATTCAATTCCATAATGAATGTTTGAAATATAAACTGAATAGAAAAAAGTGTTGTTTGTATAATTCAGTGTTCATATAGAAGTATTTGTTTGGAAAGTATGTTTCTTTCGTGTAATTCAATGTTTATATGAAAGATTTCGAGAGGGTTGTTCTTCCAGTTTATGTCTGACAGTTACTTCTTTGCAGGATCTAGGTACACATTTTTGTTTGGAGTTACTTCCCACATTTTTTCATGTAAGATGGAGAAGAAGAAAGCCAAAACATTTCTTTCCCAATAAATGAAAATGTTTTTCAATACCCATGTAGGTACATAATTCTTGATTCACAAAATCAATGATCTGGATATTCTGACATTCAAAAATATCTACAGTGAATCGTATTCTTGGTATACTTGGTTAATAGATTAATATATAGTACTGTTAGGTATACAGATTTACTTGTCGTTTATAGTTAAGAGGCTTTGTACCCTTCTATGTTTATTATCTTTAATCAAAATATCATTTAGGTAGATTCCTGAAAATACTTCATTTGAACTTACAGTGGTACTTCCGAAGTCTCGAGCGTTTCCAGTCGACTTTTCATGACGAATGGAAAATCCAAATACTGTGCACTGAAAGTCGATGGGATCCCAAAAAATCAATTAATAAATTGAATATAGAGGTCGGTAGAGTACAAAATAAAAAATAGATAGTTTCAACACTGAAAACTAGGGAAAATTATTTTCATTTCACACACTTTGAGGACTTTCTGCACACAGAATTAAAAACTATCGAATACCTACATTCTTCAGAAAATATCATGAAAAATGTTGTACCTATATTCCTAATGTTTCATAGATTTTTGACCTTCCACAATCCGAAAAAATAAATACACTAAAGCATATCTTCTGATGATCTGAATTTATTTATTTTTTCGAAAGCATCAAGGAGCATTGACAAAAAATATCTGTCAAAGAATATCTGATAAATAGGGACTCTTCTAACCCTCCATGGACATGCTAACAAAAATGCATGTTTTTTCAGATCACTGTATCAAACTGAGGTAAGGCCAAACATCTCGAATCTGCAAAATTTGACACTGGACATTTTTGTTCCGAGTCCCAGATTCATTTCCACAACATACCTATTCGTCAATTCACAAAAACTATGTCTTAAACTATCTCTCACCTCAAGCAATTCGCCGAATAATCCATATCACTCAACAACGGAACATCAACTGACAGACAAAAACCGAACGTCACAGATCGTGGAGCGGTGCAAACATCACAAAAACTACAAACAATTAATAGAGAGCAAGGTGGTTTACGAGATGCTCTCTCGGTGTCGTCACATAGAATAAGAATGAGTTGAGGAGATCCGACTCTCCTTGCCGGCTCCCGGCTCTCATTGGCCGCGCGCGCGTGGTGGGGCAGGTGAGAAGACAGGTGATGGACGGAGAGAAGAGATCTATATGCGGCGGCGTGCGAGAGAGAGCGCTCGATCGCGGACCGATTCGCAGATGAAGTCGCTCGCGCTGGCTTGATTATTTGAAATATGGCTTTTGGAAAGCTGATTTTGAATTATTAATTGCGGGGACTGAGTTGGCTAATGGCTTGCGAAATTTAGCGTATGTGTGGGGCGGGTGTTGTATTGGATGTTGTCTCTAGCTGCGGTTGTTTTAATGAACCTGAGATGGGTTGTCAAGAGAAGTTTTGAAAGTTTCCGCGAAGATCTCTTTTGTTTCACGTAGTCTTGTACTTCTAAAAAAGTTTTAATTGAAACGTTGGGGTATCGGAAAGACTTACAGAGTCAGGGTCATAAATGCTGTATTGTCATAAAAGTTTTGGTTATGTTGACAAAGCAGGCTTGAGAACTAAAACAATCTGAGATTTAATAGTAAAATAAAGGCCACGAAAGGAATACAAAGCTGTTAAAGTTATATTAATATTCAAAGATTTTCAAAAAACTACAGTGAACTACACCAGCATTTTGTTCACATCGAGAAGCAGCTGAAGAAGGTCCAAAAGGGTCATAGCTGCCAGTCGCTAAAAAATATCGTTTTTCAATTTTCCTCGCCGTTTATCATTCGTGGGAGGCCCTTGGTAGGTTGACAGATGAATAACAAAACGTTCAACGCCTTATAAGAGAGAGATTAAACGCTGATTTATGTTCGTCGCCATATCCGAGATATATTCGAGTCGGTATCTATAAAATCCTATCTCTTGAATCATAAGAAAACAATAGAGACATTACAGTTATTCTGGCCATCACGTATGAGCGGACAATACAAATGAGCCACATCGTACATCTAAGGATGAACGGCCATAGAATTTTTAACGGCGATTGAGGTGAAGGAGAGAGAACAGATTTTATTGGTTAGTCATTGTTCGCAGAAGGAAAACAATCGGGCGACACGTTTCAGGTGCTGACAGATTGTTTTCGTTAGTGCGATCAAGATATCTGGTGTCTCATCTAAGTTATTCTGCTATTGAAGACGGTTCCTTTTTTGGGACCTTTTTGGTGGTCTCAAATTCTAGACCATACCGACTGGGAACAGCGTTTTGATCTTTCAAAACAAGCGATTTACTTTGAAGGTGACGGTGCCATGTTCAGGTTTGGAAATAAATTGATATTGCAAAATATCACATAATGTTTCACGAATCAAAGATTGACTACGAGCTAATTGCCAAATGTCCCTACATAATTTCATTCAAAACGCGACTGAAAGTTAAAATACAGGTATTGGAGGTATTGAAAGCCTATTTACATCTTACCACTTTATACTCAATCCAAATATGTCTCAATATTATCTCTAAGCTCATCAGCCTCCGTATTCACCAGATTTGATCCCTGCGACTTCTTCCTGTTCCCAAGATTGAAGAGACTCGTGAAAGGGCGGAGTTTTGCGACGATTGAGGAGATTAAAACATTTCTTTGAGAAAAGGAATATTGCAAGTAAATTTTAATCAAATATTCTGTATTTTCTGTAGTTTGATCTTTGTTGCAGTTGGTTGAAAAAATACTATAACATACAGCAATAATCAACTTGTGGAAAAATGGGTGTTTCCTCTTAACTTAGTGTTTTCATCTCGTTGGCGATGATGATAATGCATAGTCTTGAAGAAAGTTGTTTTTATGATATAAATGTGATGCTACTATCAAAAACACTAGGTGTTTTGCTTTAGAAACCCAAATTACGGGCGAATCTCTCTTTAGGACTATATACAGATGGGCTTCGTGTCGAAATGATCCCGCATTGACCGTACTACTGAGCCCAGTTGAATTATCGTTTTCTCTTCTGCTTCTTCGACTTAATATACATACGTAACGAGCTCCTAATAACGACAAGTCATGAGACAGGAAAGGAGGTCTATACTAATTTGGAATTTAACTCGACGAGATAAAACGTCTCTTGCGAGACTAATACATCAATTTAGGTAATCACATACTAATAGCTGTGGAAAACAGACTCTACTTTCGAGAGATTTGTATGACGAACAAAAGGTTTTATTCGGACTCCTGGGTGCATGGGGGAGGATATTGCAGAATATTTTTTATTTAATGGGGCACTTGCTTTCGGTACTGAATTGATATGAGTTTCAAATATTCCTCGTTTTGAAGTAAACCCTTTGAATAATCCACTTTTTTCAAGTTGACAATTGACACAGTTGCAAAGTTCAGGTCAAAACATACGAAGGAACAAATGAAGAAAGGAACTTGAAAATGTAAATATTAAAAATATCGCAGTCATCACAGAACAGGAAAAAGTCTCGACCTTCCTTGAAACGCTTGTACCACTTTTAAACATTTTAGTGACTCAGAGTACAATCACGGTATGCCACTGTTAACGTTTCAAGTATTTTCGAGGAATCAATTCCATTTTTCACACAAACTTTGATGCAAATTCATTCATATTATTTTTTGAACAGCCCTCGTATACGGTAGGTTGCCTTTTATGTTTCGGGATTTGGCAACCCTAGTGTGGCAATCTGGCAACTGACAGCTCTATCGTAAAGTTGGACATTTTTGAGCTCATACGTTTTGACATACACGCGCTATTTGTGTTGTTTACAGTAAATTAAAAGATTCATCTCGAACCAAAAGTGGAATTAAATCGTGAACATTTTCGTGCGATTATTTTTTACAACTTTCGACGTGGATTAACTCAGCAACAGTGCATGGATGAACTTAATTCAATTTTTGGCGATGAAGCTCCATCAAGGACCAGTGTTTATCGACATGTCGCAACCATACCAGTAGAACAACGCAGAACTGTCAATTCTGAGTTATACACAACCATTTGTTTGCCAATTGTCTTCCAAGAAATCAGGAAAACCAACCGCCGAAGACGGATCACTCTTCACCACGACAATGCGAGCTCTCTCTCACACATCGGCTCAAACAACTGCATTTTTGAGCACCCAAAACATCGATTTGATGCGTCATCCACCGTATAGTCCTGACTTGGCACAGAATGACTTCTTTTTATTCCCGCACGTAAAAAACAAACAAAGGTCAACGTTTTTCGACACCTGAAGAAGCTGTTGCTGCATTCAGAATGCATGTTTTGGAGACACCTCAATCAGAGTGGCAAAAGTGCTTCGACAATTGGTTCAAACGCATGCAAAAGTGTATAGATCTTCATGGGGAATATTTTGAAAAACAATAAAGTGATTTTCGATGATTAATATTTGTTTTTGTTCTCTAATCCCGAAATATAAAAGGCAGCCCTCGTATCAGCACATATGTACAAAAAATTAAGAAAAAAAAGAGAAAAAAACTGAATTCGGAAACAATTATCAAAAAATGATCCTAGTGAATAAGCTTCAATATTAGAAAGCAGATCCAAAACACAATTTTCAATATACTTCTGGTACAGTTTTCTCTAACCAGTGTTGGAAAATGATTATAAAATTTAATGACTATAATCTGAATGGGAAACAGTGATTTTCGTGCAATATAATTAGTTATATTGAAAGGGCTTTTTCTTTCAACTAATTCAATTTCCATGGAAAGTAGGTGTTTCAAAAGGGCTCTTTTTCCATTTTCTATCTGAAAAACCTCTGTGAACGATCTACATTAATTTGTAAATGATTTTGAAATAAATTGCTTTCTTCGGAAGTTGTTGAGCGCTATATTTTCCCTTCACAATTTTAAAAATATAATTTACTTCATAACTCCGGACATTTACCACCTCTTTCAATAAATAATGAAGAGCAAGTGCAATGTTTTATCTGAATTGATGCAATCTTCTGCTCAAGAATCCGTAGCAGCATTAGAAACCAGTGATTAGCATATAATTTTCAATTTTTACGCGCAAACGCTTGCGAGAAATCGAATTATTCATCTGATAGAGTAGAAATCTTCCGTTCGCCTCCGATAAATTATCTTCTTTCAACATCGATGGAAGAGTGTGAGACTCAAACCTACGTAGAGGAATTATTATTATCATTCAGATGTGTTTCATCGACACTTATTAGTAATTTATTTTGTTAATTAGCAATAATATAAAACAAGGTAATGAATATTTCGAAGTAAACTGTCGAAACATTCATTTCTCCCAACTACACACACAGAAGGTTCTGGTAAATGATATAAAAGGTAGTTTTTGAAAAGTAATTTTTTGTGAGAAACTGAACAATAATCGAATCGGAGAGTTCAGATTTGTTTGAAAAGACTATTTGCATGTACTTTCTGCTTTCAAGTAAATTTTTGGGTTTTTTTCTGCTATTTGGGAGCCTTCTGACTTATCCATTTCTTACAAGTCTCCGGACACTCTGCTTCTTCATATATAGCCAATTTTTTTCATAAAACACTTTCTTCAAATCAAATCTCCATTAAAAGCCACACAATTATCCCATCATCGCTCAAACATTTCAATACCACCTTTGTAGAACAATTTATCCTTTGCTTCAAAATAGGCCACAGTTTCAATAACTTCGAGCAAAAATTTTTACCGGTGAGCATTTTTTTGAGGTCTGCGAACTGTCAATAATCGCTGGCAATCAAATCTGACGAATATGGTATACGCAGGAGATATTCGAAGCCCATTTTATGCAATTTTGCCATCGTTTTCATTGATTTGTTAAACTGCAGCACTTTCTTTTTCTTCAAATGGGGTCGTTTTTTCGCAATGTCTGCCTTCAAACGCTATACATATAATATTCACTGTTGATGGTATTTCCCTTCTCAAGATAGTCGATGAATATTATACCACGCACATCCCAAAATACTGAGGCCATAACCTTCCCAGCCGATTGTTGTGCTTTCGGTCGCTTTGGACGAGGTTCAACAGTTGCTCTCCACTCAGATGAGGATCGTTTTGATTCCGGTGTGACGCGATGGATCCATGTCACATCCCTTGCCAC